TGAAAATTTTTAACGGCCAAATTTAAATTTTAATTTATATATATATATGATACGGCAGATTCGAAATTTTAACATAAAATGGTCAATTTAATATATAGAGTGGCCAAATTTAACATATATAGCGGCCAAATTTAGTGTGCAGATTAGCTTGTTTAATAGTATATTTTAAGCGGCTAAAGTGCTTATTTAATTATAAAATTGCCTCGACTTTAATTCTCTTTTTATTAAAAATAAATTTAAAAAAAAATTAAGACCACCAAGATATTTAGCTTACATGCTTTTAATGCTCTATGAAGAGATTTTTATTTATTGTTTTTTTATGAACAAGGATTAACATTTTGAAGCAAGTCAAAATTATTTGTCGGGACTAGGTTGTCTGCACTGTACAATAATTTATTTTGATATTAATTTTGATCTAAGTTAATGACTATTAATTGCTGCATAAATTTTAGATTTAGGCAATATCACATGCTAAATTCAGGCAGAAATTATGGCGTATTACTTTCTATAACGCTTATATAGCTGTCGCGTTATCGTTAGTTTAACATCAATATTTTTAGCGAATTTAAATTTGCAACAAGATTCAGATAAATATTTTATTCATATTATTGTGCAAGTCTATCAACATCATATATTATTACCAGTGTTGGCTAGTTTAGGTCTTATTCATCTCTCTATAACAAAGATGGTCGTAATATAATAGTAAACTTTTATAAGTCATAACAGGTCATAAGGTCATAATCTATAATTAATAATAGGTCATATTCAGCTTTATACGTATAACCAAGGTGGTCGTAATATAATAGTAAATTTTTATAAGTCATAACAGGTCATAAGGTCATAATCTATAATTAGTCAATAGGTCATAATAGGTCATATTCAACTCTATATAACCAAGGTGGTCGTAATATAATAGTAAATTTTTATAAGTCATAAACAGGTCATAAGGTTCTAATCTATAATTAGCCAATAGGTCATAATAGGTCATGGGCCAACATTGATTATTATAGGATATTATAATATAATCAAAATATACTTGACCCTCGTTAATATCAGCCTCATTAATATCAACCTAAACAATAAAATGAATTTCTATATATTAAAATTATATCAACTTTAAAATATGATCCCTCATTAACACCACTATCAACATAAATATAAAAATGATCCAAATAGGTTTACATTAGCGAGGGTCATATGTATATATTAAATGTCGTGATTGATTTGGTACTCGATTGAAGTTTCAACTTCAGTTGCACCTATCTAAACATTACCCCATACGAGTATGGTACGTATTACTTTACTGCTTTGTCTAAAAATTATATTATTTTACAATAATATTTAGCTATATAAAGAAACATGAATGACACTTACCAGCATATGAATAGTGATGCAGGTGGAACTGCCCCAGTGAACCGTACGACAAATATCAAATTACGGTTATGGTTGCGGCAAAAGCCGTATGAATTATCGACAATATATACATAAAATATGATAAGAAATTAATTAATCGTAGGACTGTTTGAAATTATAATTTTGTTTCACTCTACCTGAAATTTAACAAATCAATCAGAAACATTTATTACGTCTTGGGATTTCAACGGTCACATGATTATGAACCAACCAATAATAGTAGGACTATTTTTGCTACGTAATATATCGATATAATGATTGTTTTAAATTGACCTTTCCCTCCATTGTGCTTAAACTCAAAAAGGGAAAACTAACAAATTATAACTCCAAACGGCAATATAACGACGATGTATCTATTATAAAATCAATTAATTATTTGAAATTATTGTTTATCGAATTCAAGTTTTTTTTTACGTACAATGAATATAACAAAAATAAAAAACAATTCTGTTATAACTTAACGTTAATGATTATATGAAATTTTATAGTCTTAGTTAAAATTTTCGTCCATTTGTCGAGGAAACACTGGGGTTTTTTTTAAAAAAAAACGGATTTACAAAGACTAATTAATAATTATATAATATGTTTGCCCTGTAAAGATTTTTTTCCGAATATTTCTGTTATTTCCCCATATTTTTTGTGAAAACTCCGTAAATCTGCAACATGATTAACAAAATCTAGACAAGCCGAATAATCTCCATGATTTAAGGTTTTAAATTCCGTGAATATATAACATTTATGGACAAAACACGGAATATAAAACACGGATCGACTTTTTTATAGGGATGATATGATAATATGAAATAACATCATGCTGGGTACAGTGATGATTTTTTTAATCAGAGAATGCCACGAAGCGGTATTTTTTCTTGCAATAAAAAAAATTTCACTGTACCAGCATGATGTTTCAGAATTATCATACAAGAATAATTATAAATTATATAGTTCATCTCTAATTCGTGTACAGTAATGTACTGTAAGTATGGATGACGTATAAAATAATAAGCATGAATGACGTAATAAATGAAAGTAATTTATATATAATATAATAAACTTTCAAGTGGTACTGGTTTGATGCAATTACGTAGATGATTTGCATCAAAACAAGCTACGGCAAGTTACGGCAAGTTACGATGAGCTACGGCATATGAATAGCATGCCGCAATTTAAATACAAAGTTATAACTAGTTATAACTAGTTATGACTAGTTATGACTAACGATTTTCTATGCGGAAATCAAAGAACCGGAAAATTCTGATTAGCGTCATGAGGTAAAAGTGAGAATTCTGATTAGTGTCACGAGGTAAAAGGGAGAATTCCAAAATTAGGCGTAGTAAAGCTTGTGATCATAGGATCGTGGCTTTGAACCGATCAACATTATGGAATCTTCGATTGTTACATGCGTGGCTTAGGAGCTTTATTGAGGGATGTTCAGACGGAAGTGACACAAACTCGAATTAAGAACGTTCTCGGGAATGTTTGTGAAATGATAGATTGGATTTAGTATTAGGTTAAGATTAAATGAAAAATAGTGAAAATCTTGTTCTTAATGAGAAGTCGAAAAGTTTGGGCTTTGAAAGTAATAGATAAATCAACTAAAGCCTCTTCAACTGTGCTGATGTAAAGAGAACTAAGCACATGGATATCAATAAATAAATAAATTAATAACGTTGTCACTCTACAAAATTAGTAAAAATTTAAGATCCGATTAGAACTGGCTTTGAAAATTCTAAAAATCGCGATATAATGATTTGCATTTTTCACACCTTTTTGAAAATAGTGAGCTTAGCCATCCGAGAAATTACCACTAATAACGGGATAGCCTATAGACCATTATTCAGGATGAACGTGAAGTGAATATGTATCATCTTGTGTGATGTCGGAAATCATATGTGCAAGGGTTTGCAGTTCCCTAGATATAACTTATCGTTTGCTCAAAATTGCTTTTACAATTTAGTAAATCATGCAAGGATATTCACAAAGAGCTTTTAGCCAATACCAATTTTAATTACTTTCAACAATTCTTCTTTTAGTTTAGTCCTTTTAAAAATCATGTGTATACATAATATAATAACCTTGTTAAGTCATGAGTTGCTACCGAAGGTGCCATTTGTACAAGTTAGGGTTTATTATAAATTCCCCAACGTCTGACAAAATTCTAAACGGTATATTCATTTTACGATTTGATGAGTATGATTTAACGAATAATTTTTTGCAGACAAATTTTGCCTCCAAAAATTTATCGTTATGGTTTAACCTAGATACTAAATTTAAGATCACATAATGCACAGTATCTTTAACTACCGCAGTAAATAAAAATAATCGAATCGCAACATTTGTTTTTCTGCGCGTTTCTACGATTATCTACGGAGTTCATTTCTTAATGTTTAATACGTACTGATTTTGCGGCGTAAACACCCTTACCATTTTTATTTAATATTCTTAATATATATTTATTAAAAATAAATATATATTTAATAAAAAATATAATATTGAATTTACAAAATATATTACTAATATAGTTTGATTAGTAAAAAAAGTAATAATATTTTATTGCAAAATCTTGTCAATTATAAAGTTGTTAAAAGTACGTAGGTTTTAAACATATAGGATTAAAAGTCGCAATTACTACTCAACATACAATGATTCTCTAAAAAAATGTTTGTTTGCATTAACAAATAATTAGTAATATCGGTAATGTTTATGTTTTGTGTTCGAGGTAGCACATGCTATGATAAAGATTCGTTGGGTTGAATATTTTTTTGTATACTCAAAAATTTACACATGCAAGGGTTTTGAAATAAGATTTTGTATTACGAATTTATGCTTACACAAAAAATTTTTTTTTGTAACAAATTATTCATTTAATGGTAAAATGTAGAAATATAAAGAGTATAAATAAGTGTACATAAAATTCCAAGTAGGTAGGTAGGTAAGTACGTACGTCTGTACGTACTTACGCAGATAATTTAATAATTAAAAAAAAAAGGACAAAAAATTTATCATTTACCGATAGTTTAATGCAAGTTGGCGCATTTATAGTAATATACAAACACAGTACGCAGTAGCTAAGGAATCAATTTTGAACACGTATATTGATTAGGCGCTGGTCAGTGCAACATTATTCCTTTATATGCGGAGAAATAAGAACTACCACTTCAAGTAGTTTGTATATCGTGTACGACAGTGTATTATGAAATACATATGCATAACAAATCAACAGCAGAAAAACTAAAAGACGATAATTCTGCATAGAACAACATAAGACAAAGAAGGTAAGATGCAAGTTTATGCAAAACATATTCGAGGGGTACACATTCACAAAAAACCAAGCATTTATTTAGAATATATTTCGTTACTCAAATCGTACGTAACTCCGGACTTTTCACAGCGTTTTGGCCTTTTAAACTAAAGTCTAGTAAAAGATTTTTTGATAAAATCACCACATCCTATCGTATTCATAAAAATTTAAGTTAAATATATTCCAAGTTCAAAGAATCATTAAAGAAATATTCAAGGATTATTCCAGAATTATACAAGAATAAGAATTCACTATTATTAAATACAGCATATTCGAGAAACCAATAATGGCATCTGCAAGTTCAACAAATTTTCGAGGGTTAACTTCTAAACCTTCTTCGAGACGGTGCTCTAGAATATCTATAGCAAGTTCAAGTTCACATATAAGTTCGCAACTTTTTGATCAACAATTACAAAGACTATGCCCATCACCACATTATCATCCAAAAATAGAGGATCCTATAAGAGAAATTGTTGATGTTTTATTATCGATATTTTTGCAAGAACAACTTAAATGTACATCAAATAAAAAGCTAAAAACTATTCTTACAATGTCTATAGAAAATTATAGAGTAGAAACAAGTCAAATATATCAATGGCTATACGAAAATCAAAATACATTTCATTATAAAAGTCTCCTTGGTTTCTTTTTAATAGTAGGAATTGGATGTAGAAAAGATAAGAAAAAGGCATTCTCATTATTTTTGGCAGCTGCAAAAAAAGGGTACTTAATCGCTCAAGAAATGGTAGGAGATTGTTATTTTTTTGGGATAGGCACACATGAAAATGAAGATCTAGCATTTCTATGGTATAATAAATGCGCTGAACAAGGAAGTGGTTACGGATACCATGGACTTGGAATTTGTTATGAATACGGAAAAGGCACCGAACTGTGTTTATCCCTAGCAATTGAATATTATAGAATGTCTGCAATAAGAGGAAATGTTTGGGGAATGATACAATTAGCGAGAAGGTATCAAGCTGGAATTGGAACCCCTAAAAATATTGATAAGGCTATATATTGGTATCAAAAAGCTCTTGAAATCGGTTGTGAAAAAGCAAAGACCGAGTTAGATAATTTAATGAAGTCTCTATCATCCTCATCAAAATTTCCGTCGCTGACTTCAATTCGATGTGGTATCATATCAAGGAACACTATCAAAAAACGCCATCAAGCATTTCGAATATGATTAGATATCATTCATTACAATTGAAGGTCTCAGATGTTAATAGATAATTTGTACAAAAAACAAAAGTAATCTATCCGGCTTATGTAATGTCGGTTTTTTTATTTAGACACACTTATAGTAATTGATCGCTAATACGCAATAGATTGTCTGTAACTTTGCATCAAAAGCATGATAGTGAAAGACATTTGCAACCAACAATCATAGAACAATTACTTCCTTAATTAATTTAATGTTTCGTACTGTACATTTTCATTCTCAAAAAACAAAAAACAAAAAACAAAAAACAAAAAACAAAAAACAAAAAACAAAAAAAAAAAAAAAAAAAAAAAAAATATGAAAGCTATTGCTTCTTAGTGTTCAAAGACTTAATCGTAATCGTACACTTTAATGTTCAAGTTCAATAAAATTTCGGTTAATAGTTGCGCTCTCCGAATTGTAAATACTATTCTATTCAATGTAATTATTGTCAATAATATTCAATGTAATTATTGTCAGTGTTAATCATTATTGTCATTAGTTCATCGTCAGTAAGCCTTCACCAAATGTGGATTTCTTGAATTAAATGTAAGATTTTCTCTTAATTATTAATAATTAATTAATAATTTATTAAAACCAATATTTGCACACATGTTTTGCTGATCCAGTTTGGTTTGACACGATGATCATTATTATAAATTCACTATGGACTATGCGTATTATCATTTTTAATTACAATAGTTTATGATAAAATGATACCAAATTTATGCGTATAATTTAGCAAATCCTGTGTATAAACCTGTATAATTTAATTCAATGCTAATTTAGTTTCGTGTATTCTACATTCCAATGTTTGCAATTTGCAATAAATTCCTATTTTACTATCTAACAAGAATTTACTTATGTACGTCAAACTCTTTTGGAGAACATGCAGTCTTAAAGAATATCGTGCGTAAAGAATTATAATATAACCATTGTCACAAATTATAACAAAACTGTAATCTATTAGTTATTCATCCAAAACTTTTCCATATTAGGAATTGTGATTCAAGATTTACTTTATTTAAAACCTTTTTGTTTCCATATATACACGATGTTCTCCGATCAGTTACACAAATTATGTTGATTGTTTGATTGACATACGTACGTACGTACGTACGTACGCATTCTTTAATTTTCACAAATTGAAAAATGATTTAGTCGATTTTAGCTATTAAATTTATGTGGTAGTAAATTAGAAAATCACTAATACCAAATTTTTGAATATTTAATAATTTGATATCTATAATAGTTACGTATAAAACTATTACGTATAATATATTAAAAATATTACACGTGACAAATACAACGTCCAACTCAGTAACAAATAGAAGCCCTTAAAGCTACAAGAAGAATTAAGATTATATCAAGAGAAAAATCAAGCAGCCAAGAGATTCAAATTTATAAAAAGTTTATAAAAGAACAAACTGTAATCAAAATGTTAAAAGGATTAAGAAAGGGTTAGAAGAATTTATTATAATAAAAAAATGCAAAATATATTCAAAAGTTTAAATAAAAAAGGATATTACTAAAACGCACTTATGGACTATGTATGTATTATCTCAAAAACTGACTAATTAATCGGTGTGAGATGTTCTAAGGCCAGACCAGGTTGATTATCTGTTTTACATTACCCCCTCTCCCCTTCGGAGGAGGGGGGGGGGAGGGTGGTTTACATTGTAAAATTTAAAAAATTTTTTTTAAAAAAATTTTCCAAATTGTTCCGTGACTATATAAAAATTTTCCGAAATAGCCCGAAGTCCTATATATATTTATCTAAAATTTTTTACTATGAGGAACTCTGGGGTGGGTAATGTAAAACAGAGAATCTAATTGGTCTGGCCTAAGTGAAAATATTTTATGCCCAAACCTTTTTCCAAGCTCTAATTCTAACTGCAAGTACTAACCTTAAAATAAAAAAATTTGTATTAAAAAAAATTTATAAAACTTAAAAAAATTAATAAAAACAAATAATAGGTGCAAAACACCAGAGGTGCGTTTTATAATAAATGATAAGAAAAAAGCAATTAGAATAACAAAATTTGCTAAACATGCTATAAGAAAAGATTAAACACAAAACGGTAAGAAAATCTTAAAAAAGAGTAAATAGATAAACATCTTATAACAAGAAGGCAATTCAAAAACTTACACAAAAATTCAATAATTTATTAAGAATTTATAAATAAACACAAAGCAATAACTAATAACTAAAAAGAAAAATAAAGCAATAATAGTTAGTAAAAAAAAGAAAATTATAATAACTATAAAAATAATAATAAAATCAAATTAAAACTTGTAAAATATATTAAGACAAAAAGCAAAAGTTTAAAAATACCAAAAAATTATAGCAGATATATAAGAATTGGAATTTTATAATAAAATATAATAACAATAAAAATGAAATAAAAAAAGAAAATTTAGAAAAATATATAGAACTATAAATTAAATTAAAAACTAAAAAAAGACCAAATACTAATAAATACAATATTTAAATTCTTTCTAATAATCTTCTAGTTAATGTTTTCAAAATACTGAACTACAAAAAAATATTATAAAAAATCTAAAGTAAATAATATTCTTAGTTCTATATAAAGTAAATTATTGTTAATAAAAATTATAAGATATAAAATTTTAATGAGCAAATAGTTTGTAGTAAAATCAAGTTTTGAGTCTTAAGAAAACTCACTTTTATATTTAATATCCAAATTAAGAAAATAATTATATAATTATATAATTATACAATTTATAAAAAATAGTGCATTTATTTTTGGTGTATTCTGCACTTAGTGCACCCTCTTTGATATTTTAAAATTTTACTAGAGTAACTCTGTTGTATAATTAATAAAAATATTCTCTGTAAAGTTTTTACTCTAACCCAATCTTTATTCTAACCCTAACTCTAATCCTAACTCTAATTTAATTCTTATTTATATTGATTTACTATAGTTTGTTATAAGATGCATTATGGTGCACTCTGCACCAAAAATAAATTCTCTAATTTTTATTAAGAGATGTAACAAAAATTAGATGATTTTTTAGAGGGAGAAGGGGTAAAAAATTTAAAATTATATATAAAAATCTAATTAAAATATATAATAAAAGAGAGGAAGGGGTAAGCTTTTGATAAAAAAAATTAAATGATAAATGACACTGCTAACTTCTTATTTTTAAAAAAAATTATTACAAATAATATTTTAGTTTATTTTTTTCAAATAATTAATATATATTTTTTAAAATAGTTAATATTATATTTTTATTAAAATAAAAAATTTATAAAATATTTTAAAAATATAATAATACAGTCAAACCTCTCTACAGTTACAAAATTGATATAATTACAATTTTATTTTTACCAATTATCTATAGCTATATAGAAAATACCTCTATATTAGTCACACTTCTTTACAATCACAGGTTTTTGTATCCCAGAGGCAGTGATGTGCTTGGGACAGTTGGGACATGCGCTGGGACATTTTAAGACATTTTAGACCATTTTTATAAATTAAAATTACTCAAAATTTTATTAAAATAATCTATTTTAATTTTTTTAAAAA